GACGACCGTCCGAGAATATTTGTCCTGTACAGGCCGCTCCAAAATTGCCGACGCGGCGAGCTTCCTTGCTGGCTGCCGGGCGAGTGTCGGTTTTGTGGAATGCTACAGGGTGTTCCAAAGTTGGCGGACAATTCGGGGACTCCCTGAGTATATCATTTTTCCTAATTCGAAGAGTATTTGCGCGAAGGACTCGGGAGTCATGGTCGTGGAATGCTGGGTGCGATCTACAGGGCGTTTCAATGTTGGAGAATAATTTGTGAAAAATGTGAATCTTCGAGCGGGAGATTATTCATTATACTTGCCAGAAAGATATCTTCCTTCAGCAGGCAGAAATCATACTTTTAATATAGGGATCTACAGGGCGTTTCAATGTTGGAGAATAATTTGGAAAGTTGTGAAATCGAGGTGAATCTTTGAGCGGGGGCTTGCGATTTTGCTTGCTAGGAAGGATATTTTCATTTAACAGGCGGAAATCCTATTTGCAAAATGCTTGTAGGGATCTATAAGGTATTCTAAAGTTGGCGAACAATTCGGAGAATCGCAGGTTCGCTTACTGTTCTCCTTGAGTGAGAGATCATCTCTCTTGCTATGGAAAGTATTTGCACGAAGAAGTCGAGAATCATGATCGTGGAATGCTGGGTGCGATCTACAGGGCGTTTCAATGTTGGAGAACAATTTGGAAAGTGGTGAAATCGAGACGAATCTCTGAGCGAGCTCTTGCGATTTTGCTTGCTAGGGAGGATATATTCGTTTAACAGGCGGAAATCGTGTTTGCAAAATACCTGGAAGGACATATAGGTTGTTTCAAAGATGGCGGACAATTCGGAGAAGCGCGCAGGTTCATATACTGTTTGGGACTCCTTGAGTGTATCATTTTTCCTGATTCGAAGAGTATTTGCGCGAAGAAGTCGAGAGTCATGATTGTGGAATGCCGGATGCGATCTACAGGGCGATCCAATGTTGGAGAATAATTTAGAAAAAAGGTGAATCTTCGAGTGAGAGATTACCATTATACTTGCTAGCAAAGATATCTTCCTTGAGCAGGCGAAAATCATGCTTGTAAAATGATTGCAGGAATCTATAGGGTGTTTCAAGGTTGGGAACTAATTAGGTAAAATGAAGGATGATCTGCTGTAAGAGAATCTTTCAGCGAGACATGACCTTCCTTGCTACGAGGGCTATTTGTGCTGAGGAAATCAGTATTATGTTTATGCAATGCTGGAAGGAATTTACAGAGCGTTTCAAACTTGGGGATCAATTAAGAAACAGCTGAAATGATGTTGCATCTTTATGCCAGACGTTTCTACCTGGCACCGGAGATGCTTGTTGCTGGAAAGATGAGAATCATACTCGTGGAATGCCCGACGAGATCTACAGGTCGTTCAAAAATTGAGAACCTTCGACTAGAAAAGTATTTAAATATTTAAAGTGACAATCTGTTATCGAAAAATTGATATTAGAGGTTAGGTGATATTATAGTATATTTGGATTTTTTAATTTGTGAAATCTACAGGGCGTTTCAAAATTCTCGTGTATACCAAAAGGAGAATAAAAGATTTTGTAATAAACGAATCATTAGCGTCAAATATTGAGATTCAAGCAGACTATGTAAACAATCGATTTTTTAAATAATATGTAGACTATAAATATCTTTATCTTCTCATGTATTACAGATTTTGACGAATAATCTTTTTTTCGAAAAAATATGAAAATATCGTTTCAAATATATTTTAACTATACATATAATATACATTCAAAGCTACTATTCCAAAAAATTTGATTTCTCAAATCCTGTATTACATGTGAAAACACAGATATTTATAGTCTGTTTGCTATTACAAAAATCGATCCCCCCCCCCCCCCCCCCCCCCCCCCCCCCCCCCCCAAACACCCCCCCCCCCCCCGCCCTTCCCNGGAGAATAAAAGATTTTGTAATAAACGAATCATTAGCGTCAAATATTGAGATTCAAGCAGACTATGTAAACAATCGATTTTTTAAATAATATGTAGACTATAAATATCTTTATCTTCTCATGTATTACAGATTTTGACGAATAATCTTTTTTTCGAAAAAATATGAAAATATCGTTTCAAATATATTTTAACTATACATATAATATACATTCAAAGCTACTATTCCAAAAAATTTGATTTCTCAAATCCTGTATTACATGTGAAAACACAGATATTTATAGTCTGTTTGCTATTACAAAAATCGATCCCCCCCCCCCCTCCCCCAGTCCTGGATTCAAGCAATTGCACGAACCGCTCGATAGCTTCTTGAAGCCATCGCCGGCTGTGGGACGAGCGAAAATAAACGAAACCCATTGTACAAGCCTTCCAATGGATGCCGTTGTTGCTCGAATTGATACCCGCGTGAAAGTTTGATTAATTCGCAGAAGTGACGCTCCGCCATATTTCATTTCCACGGGCAGCGCGCGACGAGCGTCTGTGTGGCATGCACGCGTCCGTGTACGCGGAAACATTAACGGTTTAATTAACTGACATTCTTGCGCGCTGCGTTTCCACTGAAAATAAGGCGCAGTCACCGTCGAACGATATTTCTGACAGATCGGAGATCTATTACGACAGAATAGAAAGCGATACTTTGATCGTGCTTACAAGGGGAACTTAAATCGTGGAAATCGCTTTTGAATTGGCATTGGGTTCAAATTATATCTAATATCTTAATAATTATATATATTACATTTAATATCGAAAAAGCCTAATAGGAATTTTCAAAATAGCTCTTCACTTTGCAGATATTTTGATTTAAAGTTTGTAATCTTAAAATCTAAATATCTCGAAAACGACACATTTTCCGGAAAATTGTTGAACACAAAAGTTGCTCGATCTCAAAAAAGAGTGAACTCTTGAATGAAACGTTTTTCCCGGGAATGCGTTGTTTTCGAGATTTCTCGATTCAAAGTTTTCAAATGTTCATTATCTTTAAATGAAAATATCTCAAAAACGAAGGCACATTTTGAAATATCCTGTGAGAGTTTTTTACATGCTTTAATTCACTCTCGTTTCAAAATCGATTTTCACGCTCGCGAGTTTCCCTCGTAAGCGTCGCGTAGATTTGTCCGTTTGCAAGTCATCTGCGACCGCGTCTGCACTAACACCACTGGAATACGCGCGTTTGAGTATACTTAGATGAAAACTATTTTAGAGCCGGGTAATGCATCAAGCGGGGACCGGGCGACCGCAGCATTTGAGGTTACGTTCGCCGCGACTCGTTAATGCGTCGACCGCCGAGTCACGGGCCCGAGAAGCACCACAAAATCATAGCGATCCAGCCGATAGAAGCCGAAACGATAATCGCGAAAATCACCGCGAATTCTCTGTCGCGATGAAACGGAGATCTCTTCTCGATTCACTCAAATGCAAACGGAACGTGTGCGAACACGTCGCACATAACCTAATCGCTGTTTCCACTTTCCAGAAGCGACTTTCCGAGTCGGCAAACGAGCGGAGGTAAATCCGAGTCGAAATTCGAGTTCGCAGAGAAATCACGGTATCTGACAGCGATCTTGAAGAACCGACGAATTCCAACGATCCGCGAACTCTCTTAGGAATGCCACGGTGTTCCGACGGAGCCAGCAGCGCGGCAATTAAGACGGAAGTGATAAACGTCGAAACGTCACGCGATAGTCTCCTCGCCTAGAGAGAAATTGATAGACCCGCGATAGAGAGAATGTAGCTTTTGGCCACGGGATCCCGCGCGAAGAACCAACGCGACGGCGGCTCCCCGTTCCCGGCGCACGTGGGGCTCTCGCGTTTTGATCAATGGCTCCGTTAGAAGCCCTTTATTTAATTGGGTTGGGAACGCGTGCGTTACCGCCGCGAGATAAATTGCCCGCGAGTTGAGAGCCGCTGCGACCCGCACGGTCGCCGAACCATTGCTGACGAATGGCTGTTCCCGGCTCGCGCTGTCCGCCACGGTTCTCAACCAGTTTACGAGGGGAATTTATTCCTAGAATCGTCAGCGACACGGCGGACGTGCTTGTCAATTATTAAGAGATTAATTCTTGGGCGCAACCGTCGCGTGGCCGATTCGATTTTAGACAATTTTTTCGGTCGTAATCTAACCTTCGAATTTTATATTTGAGCCGTTTATTTTGAAAGTGGCATAAGTCACTTTGTTTTTAAGTCGATATATTTAAGGGTTTGCGTTTTAACACGTTTAAAAATATGGATGCTAACATTCGAGAGGATTTAACTTGTATTTGTTATCTCAGGAGATATTGATATTTTTCTCAGTATAAATAATTTTGTATAAACATTAAAAAATCATCACTTTTCATTACCGTAAAGTAACTTATGCCACTTTCAAAATAAACGGCTCATTTATCCGTAAGCATTTTTGTCATAAATGCGTAAAATCTGCGGTCCAATGATAATATTTCTGCGTAACTTTTCTGAGATTAGATCAAACGATTTGAATTCTTCCGAGACGATGGAATATGGCTACACAATGCGTAGAAAATTTTGATGCCTAAAAAATTGTTTAAATTTTCGTTGGACGCTCGGACGAAAAAGTTGAAAAAATCCTATTCCTTTTTATATTTACTCTCATACCATCCAATTGCTATTTCTGCAAAAATTTGTTTACGCATTGCCTAGCAAATTAATTCTTTGAGATTGATTCCATTTTAGAAGGTGTTTCCCTTTCGAAAAAAAATCAGAAAACACGCAGAAGTGTATCTCAAACTTCGATAATTTTTAAAGGCTGCCAACAGCGTACACAAATAAGTTTATTTAATGAACTTAATAACAATAATCATAGTTTAAAAATGGATGCATAAGATTCGCAGTCCGGTAACGATGTTTCCTTTTCTATTGAATAAAATTGAATCGTTGAGAAATAATCTCGACGTAACTTATAACACGAACCATAATGCAACCCATGTTTTTCGGAAAACCGGATCGCTATCCGCCATCTAAATGCAAACTTGTTCTTTCAAATAACGTAAGGATTTTTTGATTTCTGTTCACAGTCACCGGGTGTGATGCCATTTTACGGCGACTCGAGCGCCGGCTTCCGGCCGGCAGCCGGGTTCGGGAATACAGTATGGCACCAGGGAGTCGCCCCCGTGGGAGCAGTCGCGGTTGAAACGTCAGCAACGCCATGGCCACCTCAGCAGTTCATCCAGCAAATACCGGCCCCGAATCAGCTCGAAGAGCTGAGGTACCATACCCAGTACACCACCGCGGCGCCTTACCATCCGCAGCCAGGTAATTGAAGAACCGAATCGATTCCGGCCAATTTATGAATGGCACCCATATTGGATCCAGGAACCAATGCGGGCCGGTCGTTTGGTCGATCGCCACGACTCCGGCCCGCCGGCAATTTGAACCTACCACTTTGGAGACCGTTCGATGAAAATTCACACGATTTGCATTGTACCGCCGATGTCGGAACGCGGGGATCGAGCTAGTCGCGGAACTTTTTAATAGCTTCCATTTCGAATAGCACGGAATTTTATATATTATATATTCTATATATTATATATTATACATTATATATAACATAATATATATTATACATTATACATTATGCATATATTATATAATATATAATATGTTATATGTATATTATAAATTATACATTATATATTATATAATATTATATTATATATTATTATATATATTATATAATTATTATTATTATATTATTATAATATATTATATTATATTATTAATTATTATATATTATATATTAATATAATAATATTAATATATATATATATATATATATATATATATATATAATATACATATAATACACATTATATATTATAAATTAAATATATTATACAGTAGTATGGGTAACCCGGGAAAAAGGAGATACGATTTTTCGTTTTATTTAAACACACTTGATGTCCAGACGTCCATTGAAATGTTTCACGAAGGTATCGTGAATGTAGTAGACAGCGAGCCGGTATTTCCAATGACCGTAAATTTCGAAGGTCGTATTTGCAATTTCTCGGACGAAGAAACAGCGAGAGAGGACCGGCCCTGTTTGCCGGGCGTGCTTTTCCGTTGAATCAGCACGGGAATTTTCTGATTACAGTCGCATATCAGCAGCAGACTTTCATTACGACGGATCAGTCGGCGTTTCAGCGTGCCGGGGCGACAGGACAATACACAATCACGGGGCAGCCCTCGCCCTTGCCGCCGGTCGCCCCGCAAACGGTACCATCGACAGCTCAGAGGCCACTAAACGGTCAATTCATGGATCCCGCTGCCGCAGCGACCCAATCAGTTGGTTATGAAAGGCAGGATTACGTGAATGGCTACCAACAACAGGTACGTTTGCCCGAGAATCCTTTTTTGAAACCCAAACAAAAACCGATCTTCATAAAATATGCTGCCCGGCGTCCACGGTGGTTCGCGCCGGATATCAATCATCGCCTTTTGGTCTCGCAATCGTTGAAATTATAAAGTTGCTTCGCCGACTGATCCAGACCCGGAGGATCAGCGGCGCAGCACACACTCGACGCCGAGACGCAGCAGATTTTATGAAGTCGCACAGCCCGTGACCGGGAATGAAGAACGATACTGCAACCGGGAAAACCGATTTTAGTTATAGAGCAGGAATGATGATGTTTCCAGGACGTGACGATGGCACCGCCACCGTCGACGACCCCGACGAGCCGCAGCAGCTCGGTGCACATGGAGAACCAGCAGCAGCAGGGCACGCAGCAGCAACAGTCGCAGCAGTCGCAGCAGCCGCAGACCGACACGCAGGTGAAGGGATTCGCGGCGATCGCCGCAAGCAATGTGTCGGGAAACGAGATGCCTGGGTATCCACTTCAACCGGGCCCACAGAGTTTACACAACTCTAACGGATATCCAGGCTACGTGGAAATGGGTCAACAACACGTGGCGAACCATCAGTGGCAGCAGCAGGTTGCGCAGCAGCCTCAGCACCAACAGCAACAACAACAACAGCAACAGCAGCATATGCAGAGACAGCACACGGTGGGGGATGGCGGCCAGCGACACATCTGGTCGGATACTAGTACCGGCGCAAAGATCAACAACGTGAGCAACAGCATGAACTGGTCGGACGGAACGATGCAGCAACACCAGCAACAACAACAGCAACAGAAGTCCTCGCAGCAACAGAATATGCAGAGCAACAGCATGAAGGCACAGGAGCAGCAGAGCATGCAGATGCAGGCTCAGCAGGAGCTGCCTAGGCCAGCCAGTCACATGAGCTGGGAGAACGGCAGCGTGAAGGAGCCGCAGACGCCTCAGTCGTGGTCGGACAACGCGGAGAGCCAGCAGCAACCGAGTCAGGGGACCTGGTCCCGGCAGAGTCCGAAGCTGCGGGACGGCCAGAATCCGAGATTGACACCCTCTAGTCAACAGCAGGCGCAGCACCAGGCCTGGCTGCAGCACTCGCCGAAGCTGTCGGACCACCAGCAACCTCAGCAGCACCAGAACGCCAGGATGACGCCGTCCGGACAGCAGCAGCAGCAGCAGCAGCACGGCTGGCAGCAGAGTAGCCCGGAGTTGCAGCAGAACACGAGCCAGTCGAACAACCCGAGGCTAACGCCGTCCGGCCAGCAGATGCAGCAGCAGCAACAGCAGCAATGGTCGCAGCAGACGAAGATCGAGAAGAGTCCCAGACTGACGCCGTCGAACCAGATGTCCTGGCCGGACACGCCCACTAGTCAACCGAATTGGTCGCCGAACAGTATAAAGAGCGACGGCAGCCAGCAGCCTCAGCAACAGTGGCCCGACTCCCAGCCCAGCCCGAGGAGGACGCCCGGGCACCAGCCTGCCGCGTGGCAGCAACAACCGCAAGAGACCAAGATGGAGAGCCAGATGTCCTGGTCGCCGAGCTCGGTGGCGGAGAACCAGCCGACTTGGGGCCAACAGGCGACCAAGCAGGACATGCAGAACTCCGGCGAAAGAGTGCTGTGGCAGCAACAGCAGCAGCAGCAGACCAGCGACGCCAGTAAACCGAACGGATTCTCGGACGGCCAAGATGCTCAGGAGAGTAACGTATTTGCTCAATCTAATCGTGTTAATTTAAACAGCCGACTGAAATCGATGATACTGAACAAGCAACAACAGCAGCAGCAGCAACAACAACAACAACAACAGCAGCAGCAGCAGCAGCAACAACAACAACAACAACAGCTGCAGCAACACCAACAGATGCAACAGTCCCAGCAGCACCAGATGTCCCACCAGGAGCAACAGCATCACAGTCTCCATCATCAGATGCAGTCGCAGCATGTGAACAGCAACAGCGGCGCGAACGGCGAGTACCATCACGGGGAGGACAGGGTGCGGGACGAGAACGCGGAGAAGCTTCAGGAAAAGCAGAACGATCAGTATCTGAGCCAATCTGGCATGATCTCCATGTCGCAGTCGAACGAATCTCTGACCGGTAATTTTTTATTGCATAGCCACCANCTCAGCACCAACAGCAACAACAACAACAGCAACAGCAGCATATGCAGAGACAGCACACGGTGGGGGATGGCGGCCAGCGACACATCTGGTCGGATACTAGTACCGGCGCAAAGATCAACAACGTGAGCAACAGCATGAACTGGTCGGACGGAACGATGCAGCAACACCAGCAACAACAACAGCAACAGAAGTCCTCGCAGCAACAGAATATGCAGAGCAACAGCATGAAGGCACAGGAGCAGCAGAGCATGCAGATGCAGGCTCAGCAGGAGCTGCCTAGGCCAGCCAGTCACATGAGCTGGGAGAACGGCAGCGTGAAGGAGCCGCAGACGCCTCAGTCGTGGTCGGACAACGCGGAGAGCCAGCAGCAACCGAGTCAGGGGACCTGGTCCCGGCAGAGTCCGAAGCTGCGGGACGGCCAGAATCCGAGATTGACACCCTCTAGTCAACAGCAGGCGCAGCACCAGGCCTGGCTGCAGCACTCGCCGAAGCTGTCGGACCACCAGCAACCTCAGCAGCACCAGAACGCCAGGATGACGCCGTCCGGACAGCAGCAGCAGCAGCAGCAGCACGGCTGGCAGCAGAGTAGCCCGGAGTTGCAGCAGAACACGAGCCAGTCGAACAACCCGAGGCTAACGCCGTCCGGCCAGCAGATGCAGCAGCAGCAACAGCAGCAATGGTCGCAGCAGACGAAGATCGAGAAGAGTCCCAGACTGACGCCGTCGAACCAGATGTCCTGGCCGGACACGCCCACTAGTCAACCGAATTGGTCGCCGAACAGTATAAAGAGCGACGGCAGCCAGCAGCCTCAGCAACAGTGGCCCGACTCCCAGCCCAGCCCGAGGAGGACGCCCGGGCACCAGCCTGCCGCGTGGCAGCAACAACCGCAAGAGACCAAGATGGAGAGCCAGATGTCCTGGTCGCCGAGCTCGGTGGCGGAGAACCAGCCGACTTGGGGCCAACAGGCGACCAAGCAGGACATGCAGAACTCCGGCGAAAGAGTGCTGTGGCAGCAACAGCAGCAGCAGCAGACCAGCGACGCCAGTAAACCGAACGGATTCTCGGACGGCCAAGATGCTCAGGAGAGTAACGTATTTGCTCAATCTAATCGTGTTAATTTAAACAGCCGACTGAAATCGATGATACTGAACAAGCAACAACAGCAGCAGCAGCAACAACAACAACAACAACAGCAGCAGCAGCAGCAGCAACAACAACAACAACAACAGCTGCAGCAACACCAACAGATGCAACAGTCCCAGCAGCACCAGATGTCCCACCAGGAGCAACAGCATCACAGTCTCCATCATCAGATGCAGTCGCAGCATGTGAACAGCAACAGCGGCGCGAACGGCGAGTACCATCACGGGGAGGACAGGGTGCGGGACGAGAACGCGGAGAAGCTTCAGGAAAAGCAGAACGATCAGTATCTGAGCCAATCTGGCATGATCTCCATGTCGCAGTCGAACGAATCTCTGACCGGTAATTTTTTATTGCATAGCCACCACCCTCGGGTCGATAGTTTGCCCGACGGTGGTGGCTTATGGGAGTGGTCAGGAGGAGGCGGCGCGTTGACGAGCAGCGGCGCGCTGCCGGAGAACGGGATCCCGTCGATCGAGAGCTTCATGAAGTTCGGCGAGGCGAAGACCAGCCTCGAGAAGCCGTGCGAGAAACCGTGCGAGCGCGTCGGCGAGCCGGAGAGCAGGGAGGAGGAGCTCTGGAAAGAGGGCGACAAGAACGATGACAATCAGACCGATGACAAGTCCTTCCAAAGGGGCTTGTCCGCGGAGCGGGGTAACGGGTTCGAGGAACGCCCGACGAAGAAGCTGGAGGAGAAGAGCGAGGCCGGCGAGGCTCTCGAGTTCCAGGGCGTGACGTTGGAGGAGGACCGAGCCGAGAGTGTGCCGGAGAAGGAGGCGTCGACGACGGACGCGAATTGCGACAGCTCTCAGATCATCAAGCAGGAGAACCTTGGGGACTACGCGTGCTCGGGCTCGGAGTGCGCCCCGTCGCCCACCGCCTCGTCGAAGAGCGACGGCTATCAGGCCAGGGAGATCAAGACCGAGCCGGACCAAAGGTCGCAGGACGCCAGCGAGTCGTATAAGTTCCGTGGGGACGGCGGGCCGGCGAAAGTGTCGCCGGGCGTCGGTTCCTGGTGCTGCCGCCGCGGCGGCACCGAGCAACCGACACCCGAGCACCTGCGCGAGGGCTGCTGCCAGGGTCTGCAGACTCGGGACGAGATCCTGGCCGATTCACCCGAGAAGCCCGATAAGACGGACGCCGGCGGGCCGCAGAGCCCGCGCGCGGTCCCGGCCACCACGAAACTCCAAGATCACTTGGACAAACTGAAGAACAATGTGAGGACCGAAGTGCCGGACTGCAACTGCTTCCCAGCCGACAAATGTGAGTTGCTATTGCGTATTCAGCACGACACTAACATTGAGAGAACACACTAACCACGACAAACCATGCTCGCTTATCACACCGAGAACCATGCCTATGTAAACCGGGTGGTGAAACCGACGTATTGTACCGATCAATCCGTGACAAAACAAAACAAAAAAAAAAGATTAAAAACAAAAAACAAAAAAATAAATAAACCTGTATGCTAATCGAATCACCGGCCGAGACGTAACAGACACAGTAATAACGAATCGAACAAAACGTATAAAGTCAAAAAAGCGCCTCGATCGGACATCGACACCCGGCAGAGGAGTGTGCACGATAGTCAACCTATAACTTGTTGTGCCCCCGATAAAAAGTATACCGGTGGCTCCCTCTGTTCCTTGGGAGGGGCGCGCGCCCCCTGCGTACACAAATACGCGCGGCATAAATGTTTCCGCTTCTCTGTTGCTTCTCCTATCCGTTGAAAAACGACCCCCGGTGTCTCGTAAGTAAAATGAGGTTCAACCACAAGGTCCGCCAGAGCCCGGCTCGTACTACACTCACCTCGGGGCGGCAGCGAGCCTGCCCGACCTACGGAACGATCTTGAACGAAGAACCGGCCTTAAGGGAAACGCCATTAGATTCGAAAAGGTCATCTACACCGGAAAGGAGGGGAAAACCACCCAGGGATGTCCGATGGCTAAGTGGGTAAGCGAATTAAACGGCTGTCGGGTTCAAAGCGAGTCCCATTCACTCATCTCAGACCCGCGAACCGATTCCATCTGTCACTTGTGCCACCCACGCGTGCGCAGACACGCCACGCACCCATCGTGCGCCGCTGATCCGGAATGCCAATCAGGTTCAGGTTCTGTCCGCACGCTCGGGCGCCACCGTTGTCTCCACATAACCTGTAAACGTACTTTTAGTTTCTGTACCAGTTTTTCTTTGCTGTTAATTTAATCCTGCGTTTATACGTTTGTTGCTTTTCCTCGCGATACCATGATTTACTATTATTATTATTATTATTATTACTATTACTACTACTATTATTATTATTATTAATATTATTATTGTCGATTAACATTGATTGTTACCAAATATTCGATGTAGCTCAATTTAGGGGTTAAGTCTTCGTGCGTCCGTTGAAGACGGACCGTTCGTACGCTCTTTTTATATGAATTTTGTCGAGCAGTGAATTAACGCCCGTTTATTGTATCGGAAAATTATTCGTTTCGCGCGATTGCGGATGTAATTCTGTAACGCTCAATCCCGGTGGCGATCGCGCTGCGAATAACTGGCGGGAATTTGGCCATTTACATTTCAGAGTTTTTTTTTTTTGATAGTTTATTATATAGAGAGAGACGGATTTAATATATTTGAATCGATTTTTAAGTATTATAACCGACCACGAGTATTTATTTCACGCGTGACCAATACTTTAAGTAATTTTGATCCGTTAGTTGGTAAGGTTACCGGTCGTGTGCTCGAACGTGTTTTTGTCCGGGGAGAAACGAGTTTGTAAGCTTTTGTATCCGCGTCGAATTTTGCACGACCATCGAACTGGACAATAAACGTGGGGCTGGACGTTCGTTAGGCTTATTTTTATTTTAGTGCTGATCTTTTACATATATTTATATTTGACGAGTAAATCGAGGATCGACACAAATCGTCTTTGGAATACTCATTTTGCGATAAGTAGCCATTTAATTGATTAGCTTAACCATCTACCATTGACAATCTCCTTGACCACTTAATTAACGATAAATAGGACGTAAGTAGTGAATAAAATGCCCGCCGGATAGCAACCGTACAAATTACACTAATTAATATATTGTCAACTCGTGTTCCGAGTACCATGGAAAAATCTGTTCTTGTAAAACCCTCGATGGAACGTAAGAGAATAAAATAAATTGACATTTTTTCTTCGAAATCTGAGCTCTGAAAACTACCCACTGTGATGATCCTTGATCGTACCTAACCAAACACCGATCCGAATCCCGCTTGCGAATCGCTTTGAATCGTCGGCTCGAGTCTCGCTCTGTGGTCCACGTTGGTGATGGTGATTGTAATATCAGTGATTCGCTAGATAATCCGACGATCCGGTCTGGAGGAGAAGATCCTGACCATAGTGAAACACCGGCAAGGCCACAAGTGCCCTACAGCCTGGATCGTCGTGGCGATGGTTGCCTGGGAGGGGGTGCCGACCCACGAAGCCGACCGGATCTATTCCCTGTTGAGCCACAAACTGAACCGTTTCGGTCTGCCGACGACCAGGAGATGCGGGACCAACGAGCCGAGGACCTGCGCCTGCCAAGGACTCGATCCTGATACCTGCGGCGCCAGCTTCTCCTTCGGCTGTTCCTGGTCCATGTACTACAACGGCTGCAAGTACGCCAGAAGCAAAACCGTCCGTAAATTTCGACTGTCAGTACGATCGGAGGTGAGCTATCGCGAGCAAAGTAGAGGGGGAGACCCGGACGGTAAGCTCGAGGCCCATGCCGGTTGCAATGACATAAATCAGTTTTGTGTCCGGCGGGGCGTGGTCGCGAGGCGATAACACACCGGCCACCTGTTGCTTTCAGGAGCAAGAAGTCGAAGAAAGAATGCACGTCCTGGCGACGCTTTTGTCGCCGCTTTACCTCAGCCTTGCACCAGAAGCCTTCAACAATCAGACGCAGTTCGAACGGGAAGCGAGCGAGTGCCGTTTAGGGTTCAAACCTGGCCGGCCGTTTTCCGGCGTCACAGCCTGCATCGACTTCTGCGCGCACTCTCATCGTGACCTGCACAACATGAACAATGGATGCACCGTGGTGAGTAGCGCGATGACCGGTGGAGCCTGCTGCGAAATCCGGATTACAAGACGGATCTGTTCCCCGCAGGTGGTGACGTTGACGAAACACCGGTCGCTATCGAAGCCTGACGACGAACAGTTACACGTGCTACCTCTTTACATTATGGACACCACTGACGAGACCGGGTCGAAGGAGGGACAGGAGGAGAAGGTCCGCGCTGGCCATGTAGAAGTACTAACAAAGTAAGTTGGTAGCTTCTGGTAGCTCCACCTAGTGGACAAAATAACAACGTTGCTCACGTGATCACGGTTTACAGATACCCCTGCGAGGTAAGGGTCCGCTCAGTTCCCCTCCAACCCTGCAGACGGCACGGGAAAAAGCGGAAAGAGGACGAGCCGGACACAGCTAGCAGCAAGAAGGACGGCTCGAAGGGTTCCACCGAAAAGACGTCGGATCAGAATCGCGGGCCGAGTCACCAGGACCCGGTTAGGTCTCAGATGAGGGACCCCCAGCTGTCTCTGGAGATGGCGTCGATGTTCGAGGGCATGGACGCGCAGTTGCAGAGCTCCCAGGTGTCCTCGACGGTGCTAGACAGTCCTGTGTCCATGTACCAAGGGTGGGGCTACCAGAACGAACAACAGTGGAGCAGGAACGGCTGGCTCGACCAGCGGAAGAACAACTGGCTAAATCCCTGGGGCGAGTACTCGTTCGGTGGGCTGGACCGGGATGCGAAGGTGGACCCCGACAGCACCAGTCTGGACGACACAAGGCCTAGAAGCGCGGTCTCCCAGGAGGAGCATCGACCCGGCTCTAGGAACCTGCCGAACTCCACCATGGACTCGCCGAGGAGTTGCTATCCTCATTCGCCAAGGGCGCATCCCGTTTCACCGAGGAGTTCCCACGCGGGGACACCTGCGGATCCCTACGCCATGTCACCGAGGAGCTGTCCACCCGCGCCGCAGGACCAGAGGATGGCGTCGCCGAGGAGCTCGTACCCCGAGGCCGGCTATCCTGGCAGGGGCTATCAGAACGTCTACGACAACAGACAGGGCAACGCGTCCCCTAAGATCGGCTCGTACCCGCCTCACCTGGACCAGAGGAATGTGCTAGTCCGCTCGAATCAGCAACACGGCCAGAACAACCTGCGCAACGTCGTACAGGCCTGCGACCAATCGAAATTACCGTTCCCGAAGCTACCACAAGATTCTAGTCAGAAGTATCCAGTGACGCAGAACTACTTAGAGGCTCAGAGGTCGCAGGCCGAGCCGTTCCCGAACCGGGTCCAAGGACACTACCCGGCCCACCCTGTCCAGCCGGCGAGGAACTTCCCGTATCAGGGTCATCACAGCGACCCCAACGACGCTTTCTCCGGCGGGCTCTCGGTGTCGTCCTGCATGGACAACAACGCTAGTCACAAACCGTTTGGCACCACCAACCCGGACCTCTTGCTCCACAGCTCCGCGCATCTGACCCCCAACAATCAGCCGCACGAACCTCAGAATTACGGGTCGGTGGATCAGAGGAAGTACCGTCAACAGAAGCCGGAACAAAAGACTGGCATCAATCAGATGTCACCGGCGCCGTCCGATCAGGCAGGAGGAGGAGGCTGGAACATGTTGGGCTCCTGGTACCCGGACCAGCAGCAGGGTTACAGCAATCAGGTCCATGTTGAGAGGAACCATCAACCGCCAGTAGATCACCAGAAAACGTTGAATTGGAACGACAGAATGCAGCAGCCGGATCAGTCGAAGCAGCACTGCTGGGAGGCACCGTCCGACCCCTCGCCCTTCCGGGTGCCGAAGGGCAGGCCTCCGTCGAGGACCGCATCCAGCCAGAACCCCACGGACAATACATATCAAAATTCTTCCAATAGGACGTTCCTTAAGCCGCAGGATCCAGCGCGAAACGCGTACGCAGATAGTCCGAGCAACCACGTCCAGAGCAGTGGACCCCATAGCAATCAGAGGAGGCCGGACTGGCCGGAGGACAAGACGAAGGAGGGCTACCACGACACCAGGCAGCCAGCGGGTAATACGAACGCCAATTGCTTCCCGTGGCCCGAGGAGGTGAAGCAGGTCCAAGACTTTCACGGGATGCCCGGCCTTGGACATCCGCACGCGTCCTTCCCGCAGTACGGCTACCCGACGTACCCTGTCTTCGACAAGCCGTACTCCAACTCCTGGGAAGGCTACAACTACCATCAGCCGTACCACGGTCAGACGGCCGAGTACCCGCCGCAGTTCTATCAGCAGCCAAAGAGGGAAGCCTGCTTCCCCTCGCCTCAGTACCCCTATCAAGGAGTGCCCCCTTACCAGAGCCTTAACCCCAGCTGGGCCAGGTGGGACACTCCTCGATGGGACATCTATGGCCCGCCTCCGTACTTCCCAGTGATACCAGAGCCACCTCCGAAGGCCGAGCCCCTGGGCGAGGTTGCCGACTATTCCGACAACGAGGAGTGCTTCAAGGACTCGCAGATGGGTGGCATTGCGATCGCCTTGGGCCATGGCAGCGTGCTGTTCGAGTGCGCCAAGCACGAGATGCACGCTACCACGGCTCTCAAGAAGCCGAACCGACTGAACCCGACCAGGATCAGCCTGGTGTTCTACCAACACCGGAACCTGAACCGGCCGAAGCACGGCTGGGACGAGTGGGAGGAGAAGATGCGGCTGAGGAAGCTAGGCGTCACTGCCACCACTGCCACCACCAGCAGCAGCAGCAACACCTCCACCGCGTCGCAGCCGTCGACGCCATCGACGCCGACCAGTCCTGCCACCACCACTGACAAGGCCACCCCCGTCCCCCACGTGCCGAACGTTCCCAGCTCGCAGTTCATGATGAGATCGCCAACCTACACCACGATGACCTGGACCACGCTGTTCCCCATGCACCCGTGCATGATAACTGGCCCGTATCAGGAAGGTGGCGCCATCGGATGAGTGACCGTCGGTGGCCACGGTTCCAGCCATCGATGATGAACCGTGCCAGGATTCGTTCGGTCGATCTCGCTGACACTTGGAGGACGCGTCGACAGAGGACGCTAGGCCGCTGGACCCAGGCCGAGAGGAGGACGGGCAGCAGCTGGAGGAGCGGTACTCCTGAAGGGATCAAACTAACCGTCGAGGGAGCTTCCTCGACTAGCCATCGTCGTCCCGTAGATGTCTCTACAGTCGTGTAACGACAGGACGTACACACACGAACACAACACGTTTGCACTGCCATTTTTCTATTTCACGTTTTTGCGGGGAGCACGAGGCTCAAACGGAGACCTGACGGGCGAACCAAGGGACATACGACGAACACGGGGAAACGAGAGGACGGACACGGACGCGGAGTTTTAAATCGGGGCTTCCCTTTTTTGATACCGATCTTTTACACGAATCATGGATGTGTGGTCGACGTTCGCCGAACCGATCCAGCGTCTGGAACACGCCGAAGAGGATGCAGAAGGCAGCTGAGAACAGGTCTTAAGGTCGGGCCGCCTTATGCGCGGTCGGATCTCGCCAGTGTGGATCACCGTGTGGATGAATGAGAGACGTATCCGGTTGATTGTACATGTGTTTTCCTTTCTCGAAACGACGGTTTCGTGTTGGTAGAGAGTCGTGATCGTATTTAGCTAGTCCAAGCCTAGAGACGACGAGCGGTTCAAGCCGGTACAAATTCCTGTACAAAGCCAGTTTACGATTGTGTATAGTCACGCAGCAGACGGGTCGTCGATCTGCCATTTTCTTTTCCGCACATTGTCCTCGGTTATTTAGCGATTCACCCTAGGTAAACACCCACGGGCAGGGTAGACACTCCCGGACAAAGCAACCCTCCCACACCCACCCACCCCACAACACCCGCGAGAAAAAGGACGTTTTGAAGGTCGTGTGCACAATCTCGACGAGACGAACATATACTCACGCACACATGTACACTGATACACTCACGGGGATAAAGAGACACAAACACACAGACACACGAAAATGATCTCAAGTTTTTAAGATAATTAAACGATAATCGTCGACGTTTAATTTCTTCTCAAATTTCCTACTTCCCTCCCCCCCTCTCTGTCTCGCTTTCTCTCTCTCCACCATCTGTCTTTCTACGCTGTTTCCCTTTGTTTGTTTTCGTTCGCCTATTGTACATTGCGCTTCTTAATCATCGTATTTATTTGTAAACGTTTTTGCACGTGTTTGCACCCACGTAGGCTCTATCATTACCGTGTACCGATTAATTAAGGGAGAAACCCCGGGGTGGGGGTTTCGCGGATCACAGACACGACACACGGAGGTTAAAGAGCACACACGAAACCCTACACACAGCCACACAGAACTATATTATACGGACGCGTGTATACGCGGGTAATTAATTACTAACAATTCTCGTCCTTCGGGTCGGCGCTGAGTACAAAGCATCTTTTATCTAACCTAATGTCGAGTGGTGAGACGCGCGCGCGGGCGAGTTGACGAGGGAGGCGAAAGGGAGGAAAGAAGCGAGAGCATTGGGAGAGCTTGAACGAGGGAGGGGGGACAGGCGCGCGACGGTATGGAGGGGGAGGGTGCGCGCGTCCCAGGTTGTCGTCTTCTTCGTCAGTCACAGTTCTTCCGACTGTATTTTCCAAGCCTTTTAGAGTCTAGCTCTTGGCCCTGCGAGCGCGGGGCCCGGATATCAGTTTTCTCGGGGCCCGGGAGGCGGGCCCCTCTCCGAGAGACAGCAGAGGACGAGGCCGTCGCTCTTCGGCGGACGAGGAGGACGACGGTTCCCATCGGGTTCGAGAGAGTGCCAGAGCCAAACACGTCGACGACCCGCGTCGTTTTCTTCGCCCCTGCAACACGCAGCTATTCCCCTCACTCCGGGGCCACTCGTGTCTCCTCGAGTTACCCCGACTGGTCTCTCTTGTCCGTTTCTCCCTTCTTTCTCTCTGCCTCGTTTCCAGCCATCGAGTAGTCGGTCAGTGATCGGATAGAGGGTCATAGATCCGCGACGAGACGATACGGAGGTAGCCGAGAGGACAGAGACGCGGTCCGAGGGCTCTTAACTTGTTCGTCCCCTAATCCGGCGCTGTCCACGGTGGGGGAGCCTCGCTCGCCGGCTTCCCCTTCCACGCGCCCTTCTGCCGAACCGGGCAAAGACACAGCAAGTCTCTCTGCCGTTCTCGCGTCGGGGCGCGATGGTGGGGATACCGGTTGTCTTCAGTTCGCCTCCCGTGGAGAGCACAGAATCTACACGACCACAATTTATTTATTCGTTCGCGGGACGATCGTTCTTGTTACGCGAATCGACGCGGGCTCCTCCCTCCTCCGTTTTGGCTGTCGACACCATTGGCCGATGACCGGGTCACCGGATGCCGGCCGGCGCAGGTGGCACTTCGGGCGGCACAGAAGCCGCAGAGAGGGGAAGACGCGTCCGGGACCCTCGCCCATCGGAGTATTATAAGAATCATTAATATATTATCATTCATTATTATCATAACGTAGTAGTAATAATAATTATTAGCGGCAAAACAGTAATAATTAGCGATATAATCTAATTTAATCGATTATTTATTAATTAAGTTCTTGATGAAACGTGTTGTTCTAGTTGCTATTTCTATTAGTTCGTTTCTGTCCTCTTCTTTCTCGTCTCTTTTTTTTCGTTTGCCACCTTCTTCTGTTCTCCCGTCTTTCTCTTCGGTTTTTAATCACGCAAGCGGTCGATTCGTCCAGCCCGGTTCGAGGACCCCCGGTCTCAGAAGCGTGCTTCTGCGGTTTATCATTTTCTTTCTTGTTTTTGGAAAAATATTTTCGCGCTCGACGTTTCTCACGCTAGTCCGTGCTAGGTTCTCGATTTCGATCGAGACAGACAGACATCGCGCCACCGGTTTTTTGTTCACGCGCGACTCCGGGATCCCCTAGATCGTGTACGGAACGACGGGGCAGTCGACGATCGATCGTCGCCAGAGATCTATTTTTTAATCCTGATCGGCGTCTCGCGACGGGCGATGTTCCGCTCGTGGACGGGGCCCGATCACGGCCAGTCAATTAAGCGGAAATCTTTCTGGCGGGAGAGGTTAGTTCCCGATCGATCCGTTCAGGAAAAACGCCGAGTTGTCTCCACGAGATCTTCGACGTCCGTTTCTTTCTTCTCGCTGACTCTTTCCGTTTCGGACCTCTGCCGGTCGGCGAGCACATTCCTTCTCACTCCCGGCGCCCTCTGGGGCGACTTCCGGTTCGGCCACGAACGCATCCCTCCGGTAGAATTCGCTGGACCGTCCCGCCGATGGTGCAATCGCGGACGCGCTGACGATTTCGTTCCGCCGATGATTCTTCCATGGTTTCAAACGACAATCAAAACGTTTAACGATCGATTCCCAATTGTAAATAACGAGTCACGGGCAATTTTCGAGTTCTAGTGCTTCAAGTTTCAAAGAAGTGACGGTTTTACTGCATCGCGTCAGCGTCGAGGAATTGAACCGTTTCGAACGATTCCTATGTTTATTTCAAGCCCTAACCTAGAACGGCGCGCACGTGCCCGGCCAGACACCGCGTGTTGCAATCGGAACCACTGGACGAATGGGAAATTTTAGGTTATGAGTCTATCACGGAATGAAGAATTAATCAAGCACAGTCTTTTGAAACGCGACGAGGAATTCCTCTTGGTTGAATTCGAATAAGAAACAAAGAACCGCGAACTAGTAAACTAGAAAGTTTGACAATAATTCTTCAAGCACGGTCTTTTTAAACGCGGCGACGAATTCTTTTTAGTTGAATTTTAATCGTAATTAACCCTCTGCACTCGAAGCCATTTTAATTATAAAACTAAAATCATTTTTCTAACTTATGGTATTTCCATTTTATGTGAAAAAGCGTATTTTATGCATACAAAATTGGTTCTGGCAGCTCAGTTATGCGTGTAACAATTTTATAAGTCTAGACTTTGATAATATGAAAATTATCTCGGAACGTGATACAACAATTTTAACAATAAATCTAAGTTTTAACTGTAAATCTCTGAAATAATTTCGTTATGCATATGGAATCGAGCCTTGTGAATCAGTTACACTTTTAACAATTTTATAAATCTAGGCTCTGACAATATAAAAGTTATCATGGAACGTGATGCACCAATTTTCGTGCTGTCTCAGAGTCCCCGCTCGAGTGCAAACGGTTAAAGATCCACGAACCAGCGAACTTTCTCAAGGACAAAATTCTTCGAGCACAGTCATCTTAAACGCAGCGACGAATTCCTCTCAGTTAAGTTTGAATCATAAAGCCATGGAGTAACCGCGTCGATCACACTTCACTCGCGCACGTTTTGTTCTCCGATCACGGCCCACGAACTCTGACAGAGCCGAGCCGCAGTGCGCGCAGCGCGACGAGTCAGCGAACGCGAGCGGCGCGCATGGACGACGATCACGTGACCGGCGCTGGCGGCCGAAGCTATTGGCCGGCAACTGGACGGCTCAGGCGCGGCTTTCGGGGGTCCTTGGAGGGGGCCCTCGTCCTGCGAGCCTGCGACGTGAACGTGGACTTGCCAGCGTCGTAAACTTGATCGCTGACACGTTCGGCTGGACGTACTTTCAGAGCTGCTCTTTCAAGATGGCTTCGCGGTCGCGATCGGCGAATATCGGGGATCGATGTGCCGCTTCCACGCGCGATCAGGGCGATGATACGGGAGGAGAGCTATTTTTCGAGGGTTTGGGGGGACGAAAGGCAATAAAAGGGGTGGGAAGGCGAAGAGGTGAATACGGAGCTGTCGTTGCCGCTTCTTTTCTTCGTTTCCAGATTTTCTGCTTGCCACAGGAACGGCGGAAACTCGGGATTCTAACGCGACGATGCCAAAATAGTATTAAAGCTGGACGCTGCGAGGGAAAGAGCGGGAAAGGAAGGTTAGAAATTTAAGGGCGCGCGCGCGCGGCGGCGGGGATTTATTGTTGCGGTTAAGCTGTTGCGCGCACACACATACAAACTCACACACACATAAACACACGGGTGGTCGCGCGCGCCGTCCGTGATCGCAGTCGATCGATTTGTTTCCGAGGAAGAACGGCCGTGCGTAGAGAAAACAAAGGAACGAGAAAATTGAAAATTTTATTTCGAGGGTCGCGAGTTTTTGAGCGTGTGGAACGGAATGAGAGGGAGAGAGAGAAAGGGAAGAAAGAGAGGGAGAGAAAGAGCGAGCGCGCGCGCGATCGAGTAAGAAAGAAAGAAAGAGGTTGAAAACTGTATTTTTTCTTCCAATGCCAAAAAGATGCCATTTTGTTTTGTACGAAAAAACCTACGAAAAACTTACAAAAAAAGAAGATATAAATAAATAAATAAATAAATAAAAGTAATAATAGTAACGATAACTGAAGTGAAATAGCGGAACGATGATGATGATGATGATGATGATGATGATGATGATGA